AAAGATTGGAATTCGATTTATCATGCTATTCATTATTTAATAATACTACAGGCTTCAATTTAATATTTATATGAGACTCTTAATAACAATATATTAGGTATTAGTAGAGAAGAAGAAACTCTAAAAGAAAATATACTATCTGATGATGAATTTGATATATGTAGAGAACTTGACATTATTTTAAAGCTATTTTATGAATTAACTGAAATGTTAGAAGGTTCAAAATACCCTGCATTAAGTATAGTAACTCCAGCAATTGAAAACCTAAGTATTTATCAACCGTGAAATAATGTAATTCAGTAGATGATAAATATCTTAGAAAGTATTGTGATGTACCTTCGACTCTAGGACTTTATGGGTCTTTTTTTGATCTTCGTTTCAAAATTTTACTTTATACTAATAAGGTAAATATATAAATATTATATATTTAACTATCATTATAATCTATAATATTATTTTGTCATTAAAAAAATATCTTTTTAATATAGGAATTACGTCACATAATTATTAATAATCTTCAGAAACAATATACAAAACTCGCAAATCCAACATCCAACTCTATAATAGCAATAAAAAAAGAAGATTCAAAAATATTATAATTTTTCCAGATGTTTGATGAGGAAAATTATGGGCAAACAGAATTTGATAAGTATCTTAAATTAATTCAATTGCCTGTAATAGAAGAAAATAATCTTTTGAGATGGTGGAGTCAGAATAAATATTTGTTTCCTACATTGGCGAAGCTTGCTAGAAAATACTTATTAATTCTTGCCTTTTCTGCACCCAACGGAGGGCTGTTCTTGAATATAAAAAATCACATTTTAGATCTAGATATTGATATAGTCAATTGTCTTATATTTTTAAAACATAATTTATAGTATTATAATTTGACGTGAATTTCAATTTCTTAACTCTTTATTCTGAATAAACATACAGTACATCATATAAAAATACTTTATCAATTCTTATTTTTTACAATTTTTCATAATAATAATATTCAATAAAATTTTATTTAAAACAAGGATACCACATTTAATTGTAATATGTAATCATATCATATCATGAAATGATGAAATTGAGATACTGTATCTGAATTATGTACTAAGGCAGCTATGATTACCAGTAATTTGATGTTATTATCTTTGATTAAGGTCAAAAGTGACTAGATATTTATATAAATAATTTTGAATTAAAGAGTATAATATATCTTGAATATTGGGTGTCTCATATTAGAAGAGCCCATTTTGACAATTTTTCAAATTGTTAATATATCACAATTGGCTCTTTTAATCTGAGGCACTCATTATACTTTGTTATCATATAATCACCCTTTATGTCTTTAGTAATAACATATATTTTTATCACATTGTTCGAATTCTGACCTATTTTCAATCTACATTGTCTCAATAATAAAGCGTTAAATAATATTATAAGCAAAAATCGACACAAGCTAACCCCCCGGGCATAATTCAGATAATATAACAGTTTTGTAGTTGATTAGTATTGTCACATAAAAATGCGAGTCACAAAAACTTTGAAGGGAAATGAATTGTCATTTGAATGTAAAAATTCAATTAATTATCTCCAATTCTTTCGCATTATTTTAAAATCTATTTATTTAGATGATAAATTTCAAAGAGAAAGAATCAAATTAATATTAATCATGAATTTTGATAATTTTACTCTAATTGAAGAAGCAAATTTATATTCCAATATTAACTAGCAATAGAGTTAATATTTTTATTTCAAGTAGTTATTTTCCGATTTTATTACAAACCAGAGAGAATGTAATTTCACAAGATATGATTAAGGAATTGTCTGAATTAAATATAAAAATTCCAGCATTTATTTTAAATACAGCAGCAAACACATCTTATAACGAAAAAACAGTAAAAAAATCTCCAAATAGCTTTATGATATTTTGAAGTCAAATATGCTATATGGTAAGGCTAAGTATAATCATTTAAGCAATTATCAAGTTTCAAGTTTAATTGGATATTTGTGGAGTAAATTAACTTCAGAACTCAGAGAAGAGTATTAACAACAAGCTAAAAAAATCAAATTAGATTACTAAAAACAGAATAAAGGTAAATATATATATAAGAAAGATCATCTAATAAAAAAACAAGAGATGTTTCTAAGAAGAAAAAATTGACTCAAGTTTCAAATACTAAGGAAATTTCATCATCCAGCTCTACTAAAAATAATAGAGAATTGTTAACAGACAATCTGAAAAAAATATTTAATTTTCTTTTAGATAGGTTTATATCAAAAGAGTTAAGTAAAAAAAATATGAATAATATCAAGAAGAATTATTATGAAGACTTAAGTGAAAGAAATAATGTCAAAAAACTCATTCAGAAGAATTAAGTGAAATAAATAATGCCCAAGAAACTTATTCTGAAAAGTTAAATGAAATAAATAATATTCAAAAACCTTATTCTGAAGAGAATAATGATGATATATTATTTGATTATAAACAACTTTTCAGTTTTTCATCAGAATATGATATTTTTGGCTTAGACATATCAAATCAACTTCTATTAACAGGCATTGATGGATGGCAGTCGACAGAAAAATTAGAAAATCCTTCCACAGTAATTTATAGAGAGCAGTCAACAGAAAAATTAGAGAATCCTTTTGAACTGATTTATAATGAGAGGTCAACAGTTGATCATTCTCTGTATTCTATAGAAAATATAGAAAGTCTCCTTATGCTAATTAATGGTGGACAGTCTTTAGAAAACCTAGCTAATTTAGATTTTAAATTATTAATGAGCCTTATAATGTAAGATAGGCAAATTAGAAACAGCAGGTGATATGCCAAAGTTAGGCTTTTTTTATTGTCTTTCTATCACTTTTAAATTGGTATTTTATTATTTCTTTCTTAATTCTTATAGCGGTTTTTATCTTTTTTTTTTTGTATCTTATCAGTACTTTTTTGTCACCTTTTCAATATTTTTTATTTCACTTTTTGATTATTTTTTTTGCCACTGCATTTTGATATTTATATTGTCTGTAGAGGTCCTTAAATTTTTTTTACAAGCACTTGCACTTGGTACAATACTATTCATTTGGTTATTTGCTCAATGTTGTAAATTCTTGTGGAATAAATGGACTTTCTAAAAATGTCACTAACAATTTTCATTTCTTGGCACTTGGTAAAGCATAATTCAAAGATTTCTAATAATAATAACTAATGACTAAATTCTAATAATTCCATATGTTGTTAATATATATACCTAGGTATATAAATGTGATACTCTCATACTTATATACCTGAATATAAATCAAAAATTTGCCTCAAAACCGTTGCATCATTTTTGAACATTCTAGAATAAAACGCACATCTTGTAATACACATTAAAGCTAGTATCTGTACTGTTTAATTTTGCCCCTGCATTTTATACTAAATATAAAGAAAAGATCAGTTTAACAGATACTGCATTGTTAGTACCTCACTTTAATTAAAATAACACTTTAGTAGTAGAAAAACAAAAAACAAAAGTACAAGCTGGCTTAAAACAAATTTACTTATCTAAGTGCAAGCAAGATTCAGGGGGACATATGATGTCTCAGTTGAAACGTTGCGACAATGGGCTGCTTCTAGAAAAGTGGCAATCGTCAAAATGCCCAGAAGAAAACAATTTTATTCAATTGTCGCATAGTTTACAAAGAGCTCTTGCACTTAGTAATGAGAATGCAGATTGACAATAAAATATGTAATAAGTCGAAAGGTGTAAAGGTGGAATAGATATATGGATCGAATGACTCACGTGATCATATGATCAATCAAAGTGTAGTATAATCGGGTATGATAGGTACCGTGATCGCCGATTTGATAATAATGACAAGAAATTAAAAGTTTATTTTATTAACAATAAAAGAGATAGTTAAAAAGGTACACAAAGTATGTAATAGAGCATTTTGTATAAATAGCGAATGTAAATAAAGAAAATCAGTTAGTCTCTTGACTAAAAATAAAGTAAACGTCTAATTACAAGCAAAACTTATATGAAAGTTAGCATGTTTTGAGTGCAAAGGTGTATGTGTCTTGTGTCAAGCAAGACAATAGTATTAATAAAGCCATCTGGGCAAGATAACTGTTGCTACGGTGATTGCTTAACTACGTGACATCAATTACAGATATACACAAAGCCTTTCAAAATAACCGAAGGTTGTCAGAATCTACGCAAAAGGTCAAGGTCTGTTATACAAGAGTCAGTTCAGAGCACCAGCAAGGTGATCTTGAATGACAGATCACAGATCTTCAATATAATTACCTGGGATACGAAATCATTAGTGACATCGGTTCAGAACTCAATTGGAAATGCAGGTGGTTTCTTACCCTTTTGAAATGAATACACTCTAGAGGAGTCGAAGAAGTAGTGGTTGCCCGAAAAAACTATTTGTATCACTTTGGATCTGAACTTGTGGAGTGAATATTTGAAAAAAATAGAATATGGCTCATAGTATTTGGTTCAGATATTTGTGCCAATGATAACGAAACTAGAGAACTCGCAGAAGACTTACTTTCAATTGTCACAATGTTTGTGAGATGACATAATAGATTATGCTCTGCTGCCAATTGCAAAAGAAGAAAAGATATTACCTAAACGATTCAAAAGTTTCAAGAAGGAAGTAATGAAACTTCCAGCAGGCAAGGTACGATACATTTGCTT